TGCTTCGGGTGTGTAATCAGCGTGGCCTGTCCAATCTGTCCTGCCTTGGTCCTGCCCTGATAGTGCGGCCGTTGGAATCCTTCGTGATAGCGACGGTTTCTCTTATGTTTTTAGTTTGTAGGCGAGGGTTTTTGATCCGGATGGCGGAGTTTTTCCCTTGCACCCGTTGTTGTATGAGTAACTTAAGTAGATCTGGAGTATCCATGCCCCACTGATGGTTTGTCAATAGCTTGACGAACCGGGGAGGGTGTTCGTGTGTCTGGATACGAGCATGGTAGATCTGCTAGCAGCACGGGGGGGTACGTAGACAGGAGCATGCGTATGCCTGAAAAAGGCTACTATGGGTGGGGCCCCTTCCCGAATTCGGGAGGGCCACTTCTTCCCTTCCTTTCCTCGCTCCCGCGGGTGCCTAATCAGAGAGAGTTAAAGCGTGTCTTCTCCTCCCAAGTACGGACATACCAACATCATATACCAATCGGCCTATATTGGTCTTTTGTGCCATCCGTCTCGCCGACGTTTTGCTTTTGTTTTGTTTTCTTCTGTCACCTCCCGTTTTGTTTTGTTTTGTCTTGTTTTGTTTTTTTTGTCTTGTCTCTTTTCTTTCGTTGGCTTATTTTCTGTTTTGGACGCTGGAGCAACGCCGCCTCAAGACACGCAGTGTCCAGTGATCCTTCTTCCTTGTTGCCTGCATTCATCTGAATCAGTGAACTGCCGCGACCTGGATGTCCGTTCTCTCTCGCATTTGCGTAATATTTTTTTTTATCATTGTTTCTCTCGACAAGCTCCCTCCGAAGTTTCGTCGGTGTTGTCTGCCTCTGAACACTTGGAAAAAGAGTTCCCCAAGTTTCGTCGGTGATGTTTGCCTCGGAACACTTGGACACCGAGTCTCCCGCGTTTTCCTGATTCGCCTGTTTGCCAACTAATGTTGTCTTAATTTTTTTTTGTTTAGTTCCATCGTGCCGCAGAAGTGTTGCACACGCTTGGTGCTTAGGGATTCCATCCCGTGGCGTCGCCTTCTCTCGTCAATTTCCGTCGTCACCCACACTTCGTTCTGCTTCGTCTCCATCATCGCCACCTTCGGGCGACGCCTTCATCACAGTAGCGCCCCTGAGTCGTCGTCTTGTTTTGTGAATCTCTGCGACTCTCTGTGTTTTATGTCTTTGAATGGTGCGTATCGCCAGCGAGCCATGGCGCAGTTCGTCGACCGCCTCTCTTGCATTAATCGCTTGTGCTTGCATCCTTGGTCCTCATGAGGTCTTGCCCCTGCCGTCTCCTTACACGGGTTGGGTTTCCTGGCACGCTGGCCATCGTTCTCCGTGCCTTTGCCTGTCGTTCTTTTCTCCTGCCCTTCGTTAACGTCCTAGATTGCGTTGAGTTTTCCCGTTGCGTCGCGTCCATTATCAAAGGCCGTATTCTTTCGGAAATTTGTTTGGGTTTTGAGTTTCGTCACCGTATTTTGGACTCGCTCGGGTAGTCACCCTCATTCCTCCTGCGGTGATACGCGCGAGTGCGCGTAAAAGAGTGGTGTGTGGCGTCTGGATATTGATTTTTTTTTCCTGGCTTCGTCTGTTCAGGATGATAGCGTGCTCTGCCGCAATAGATAATCTTCGTAGCTTCATCCTTCAAGCGTTGTCATTGAGATGTCGATGTTCCGTCTCGTGACCGTTCGCATTCTTCATCTCAATGATGGTGTGGGGGAATAATGCGGGATATTTCTACAACTGACCCTCCTTTTGGATGTTTTGTGAAGAGTCATATCTTCGATTCATGATCATAAATCATCAGCTAAATCTTACTGTCTGTAGCTTTAGGATTAAAGCATTGATTTGAGTATAGAATCTGCATATATGATATTCAGGGTGGGCTAGTGTTAAGTAGTGTGGCTGCTAGCATGAATGGGGTACATCTTATTGTTGATAGGATCCGGGTCGGTCAGGAGGTATACCCTTCTGACCCCTACCCGCTTAGAATTGTCTACTACTGTGTGTACCCCTGAGATGAAGTTGGATCCCCACTTCATCCCAGACCTTTGCTGATCGTCTCAGCAATAACAAGCAACTTTCCCACCTCAACGTGGTCGTGGACAAGCGTGTCAACGACAGAACCCCATCTATCTCTAGGAGCAAGCTACCACTCACGGCTTCACTCCTTGAAAGACGACTGTAACAGCTTCAACTCATGTTGAACCCTCTACCAAAGCCCTCACCCAAACACCCACAGACCGTCGATGCAAACTCCGCCCGTTGATGTCCGTCACTGTTGTACCATGGATAGGTGCAAAGTCGGTGTGCATTGGACTGTATTCCGTTCTAGCGTATGCATCACATGCATACAAGCAAGCGGCTGTGGCATGGGTACATCCGGAAGGCATCAGGTGCCACAGGAACGTTCCGAGCCTTCCGAGAAAGCTGATCGCGACTTGGAGACCTCCAGTTCGGGAAAGTCCAATACGCTTGGTACTGAAGAGTATATCTGGCAGTATCTGGGTACCCCACCCACTGTGAAGTCTCATACATAAGCTGCGCACTACCTGTATGTATGCGCTAAGTGAACGACAGCTTGACGATACAAGACTACTGCTGTTAACATCAACATTTTGAGCAAGTTGTGAAAACTGCAACGCCGGCGGGAGGGGGCGTCTCCCCGACTCTCACCTATTTACTTCTGTACAGAACGCTCAATATGCAGGCACAGCGGACGTGCGGTGGGAGTGGGAAGTTCTTGAGAACGCCCAACGAGGTGCTGATTATTACTGTTGTTGTCTTTGTGTGTCGAGGATGCCGTTGCCCTTGCAGATGGGCATGTAGGTTGCATGAACCAATCAATTCAGACTGCAGAGTTTCAATTTTGGCATTTCACCCAGGGGCTCCGTGTAAATGCCTCCGGGGGTTCGGGGGTTCCGTTGCGGTGCAACCAGCAACACAGCAGTGAACCTCCGCACCTCCGCGCATGGTCATGATGTGTCCTACACACGCAAGGGTGATGAAGTCACCCACAACGAAATGTTTCCTGCGGGTACTTCTCCTGATATCTCTTTCTGCGGGACCGGTAGGATGTTTCATCGTGAGCGGTGGCGGTGGTCGCACAAGGAGCACAGCCCAGGAGTTTCGACCAAACCGCTGTGTCGACCGTCCATTGCAGTCGGACTATGCAGGGACCAACGCGGCAGCACCTATGGCGGTGCATCCTGCTAGTAGGTCAGCTGGTTGGATGGGCTTGGGTGGGCAAAGGAGTGTGTCTACGTGGAGGAGGGCTGGAAGTGGCGTTGACAAGGCATGCTGGCGAAACGTGAGTCACCAGGTTGCCATGTTGAACTACCCTGGGATGACTCTCGCGCAATCGCTGTTTCTTCCAGCAGCGTAGAGGAACACGTCCGGAGATGTGGTGCTAGCATTGCATGAAGTCGTTGCCCCACACGATGACCTCTGGAAATGGTCAGCATACCACGCGCGTGTGGCATCTATCCCCGGCTCCCTGGTCGTATTTGTGCATCAGCGTGGACATATGGCATACTCCTAATGTTTTTTCTATATATTCAAGCACATAGCCGCCTGTACTGCAGCAAGTATACAGCTTGTACAGCTTGCCTGTGTACGCCTTCGCTGCCCTGTGAGCCTAATCACGGCCGGGAAGCTTACGTCGCGAGCCCATGGCTCCACAAAATAGTTGTACTCTGTCGTGAACGCGTACTTCTCGGCTACCTGCCCCCATCTGAAAATGTACATACAGAATTTACAGTAGATGGCGTAAGACACCATACCCCCTAGTCATATTTTGCTCTCCTGTTCTGCAGCAGTCGCGTGTCAGCGTCGATGCCGAAAACGGCCTTGGCACGATCTCGTCCAGAGCTGTTCCGAAAACGTATTGCATGAGTTTGGCCTTTTCATTTCTCGTGGAGTTATCGAGCCTTGACATGAGTCCTGGGGGCGAGGTATCTTGTGCAACATTCGGCGTGACGTTCGCGGCGCACGAGATCAGGCGTGCAACTTTGTGCAGGAGTGTCGCATACTTGGTCGGGTTAAGCGAAGCACGTGGAAGGGCTAGACATGTACGAGAAGTTGGCTAAGAGTGCCCATGGGGTGTGTTTAGCTGTGGTTGAAACGGGAGAACCGGAAATATTCGAGTGCCATTAGCATTTTTGTGCAAACACCCTTAGCACTGCTGTTGCACAGGGCTTCCACATCAGAACGAGCCAGAAGAAGAGTTCAGAGTTGTGCCGACGCGGCGGTTGAACCATTGTCTAAATCGTCAAATTATGTTTCTTCCCCATACGTAACCTGTGCCGCCCCCCTTAGGAGACAACACGTCCATGTTGCGTGTGCGCAAGGGTTTCCTCGCCGTGCGGAGAGGGTCCGAACCCCCAAGCCAAGCGATATGAACAATCGACACTTGAGTGCTGCATGTGCATCGGCACGTTCCACGCCTGCAGCGTGTGCTATCTGAACAAGCGGAAGTAATGCTCGAACAGTCCGTGTGTCTGCGTCTGAGGCACAACGAGGGCCAAAATCACGCTCCCGCTGCTGTGCGCGCGGCGCCAGTTCTTCCACTACAGATCTACATGAAATCCCCTTCCGATCTGCCCAGTTCCTTGTCGTTGGTGCTCTTCGAGCCAAGCAACAGAAATTTCGGGTTGGGCATAGGTTAGCCGCAAAAAGATACCCGGTAAAAGCCACGAGAACGAGAGAACGCACCTGTGGCTCACTCGCTACAAGTACAAGTTCCAACCTTGATGCAAAAAAAAAAAAGTTAGCTTTCCCGAGGCCAAAAAGACAAAAAGACCAAGAAACAGGTGCGTATTTACCAGCAGTAGCCGCGATAACTCTTAACATTAACATGCTTTGCCCTCAATCCTTCTTTCCCCACCCCATCGCCCTTCGGCGTCTACCCATCCGCTTGAAACCTGCCTCCACTAAGAAGGGCGTCCGATTGTTTGCGGCCGAGGGCGAGGGAGAAGAAGACGAGGAGGCTTTCGAGAACGATGACGACGAGGCGGTCGCACTGCGGGAGGGAGGGGACGACCGACAAAGGTCGGAAAAGGAGGTGGAGGTGGAGAAGAATTACACCCCGGAAGAGCGGGAGTTCGTGGAGAATTTTTACGCCGAGTACGAGGCGGCGGAGGAGCCTGAGAGGGACGAGGACGAGCTCGCCGTGTACGATCACGCCTACAAGATGTACGCGGGGGAAGGGGGCGCCATCGAGAGCGAGTGGGACGCCGCGGTCGGCAAGGGCGACATCTGGGACCTTCCTCCGTACGAGGACTTCGACCCCAAGGTTGGCTCTTTTTGTTGTTTTTGTTGGTGGTATTGGTGGCGTTGTTGTTGTTGTCGTCGTCGTCGTTGTGTATGTTATTGCTGTGCTCTTTGTTCGCTGTAGTTTTGGTGGTGATGGTGATGTCTTTCGCTGTAGTTGTTGGCTGTTTGATTGTTCGTTGCTTTGTTGGTGGTGGTGTTTGGCTGTGTTGTTGTTCACGTTCGTGTCATGTTGTTGTTGTTGTTGTTGGTGTTGTTGATGTTTTTTTGTTGGTAGGGGTGGTGGAGTTCGCTGTGTTGTTGTTGTTGTTGTTGTTGCGACTTCCGTCGATGTTTGCTCGTATGTTGCACGAGGTGCTAGTTAGAGACCAGCCGTGTTGTACGAACGGTTGCCCCACAGGGAGGCACAACTGCTACTCACCCTAGCCATAGCCATGACTCGGCTGCTAAGGTAAGCCTCACCCTGCGATATGAACTACTTCAGGCTACGATGTGGGGAGGATTCTAGGCAGTACGCAAAAAAAAATGGTCGGCACACTTTTGAACGGCGGCCAACCGCCCAGGCCAACCACCCACGCCAACCCTGGTTGCCTCAAGTCTTCCGAGCACTCGAAACACGCAGCCTTGCAATGCTTACCTCGCCCCACTCCTGTCCCTGTCTCGCGCCCATGTGTCATTTGCTTGATGCGCTCGTTGTCTGCCATCTGTGCAGGTGCCCCCGGTACACTACAAGTACTCCAATGAGGAGCTTCAGGCCAGCCTAACGAGCGAGGTGAACCCCTTCCCGCTGCACTCGGAGTGGGTGGACAGGGACATCAAAGTGGGAGATATCGACGAGGATGTAAGTGTTCTGGCGGTTACGTCTGTGCCAGCTTTCTTGAGGTCCGGAAGTCTTCTCTCTCTCTCCCTCTGGTTGTTGTTTGCCCTGCATGTGGATGGACAATTCTTAACAATTTTCGCGAGGCCTTGGGGGTGGGTTCATATTTTATCGGTATGAGTCTGTCTGGAAAGCGCTTGTTCGGGAGCACTACAGTATTCCACGTGATATATTCGAATTCGACCACTGGCTTTTGACAAGGAAAAGGGGAATCGCTGGGCTCCCTCTCTCTCTCTCTCTCTCTCTCTCTCTCCTTGGATGAAGTGAAAGGCTATGCAGCACCTCAGCGGAAGCATTATATTTGCTGCGTGGCCCCGTGATCATGGATCCTCAGTAGAAAGGGCGAGAGAGCACACTCTACGTAAATTCCGCGAGCGAACCGTCATGCTCGATCAGGAGCGAGACGAAAGCAGCCAAGATCGGTTTGAGTGTGAATAAATCGGAGCAACATCTGCCCGTGGTAGAGACAGGCGTTTACAAGATGGTCACGGCTGTAACTGAACAAGCGGAACGTCTGAACGTTTAACCATTCAAGCAGCCGATTGGAAGCATACCTCTGCAGCAAAAGCATATTGATCGTGTGGCTTTCCTTTTCCTCGGCGGACTTTTTTTTTTGTTGTTCCTCGCATCGGAATCCCGCAGAAAAAAGCGGCAATCCAGCCGATGATGTCGGTGATCGAGCAGGTGTGCCAGCTCATCGACACTACGGACGACGTTTTTTCCTTCAAGGTGCGGTGCCCTTGTTTTGTTTGTTTTGTTTTTTCAAGTCGTTCTACTTCCAACTCGGAATGAGCCGACGTAGTGTATTGTGTGGAGCTCGCTGCGTCTGTTCTTCCGTTTTTTTTTTTTGTACTTGTAGAAGCAATCGGCACTTCGAACGACGCGCTTCGTCCGAGGCAACGTCTGCATCGTATTTGTTTGTTCGTTTGATGATGGTGCCTTTTGTCCTCACGCCTGTTACACGAACTGCCGAAGGCAATAGGTATCTAACCTTTTCCTTCAACGCTGTGTTTTCTCATACATTCGTTTGTGTGTGCGCCTGTCTCGTGACACTTGTTTGGACACCGTACCGATGCGTCAAGCACACGTTGAGAGAGAGACATTAAGGCATTTCTTATGAGTTTCAACAATAACTCCGCCATATGGATCGTTGGTTTGTGCTCGTAGCCTTGGGTTGTTGTTGATCTCCCTTGTTGTCACTGTTGCTTTCGGCGGTCAAATTTGAGCAACACTCATGTCTCTGTACTGTAGAGTTGTCCTGTCCTGTCTGCGTAAAATGCAACGCCGGCAGCACGAAGATGATATTTCGTGCACTACATCTGCAGCAGTTTTGAACACTGACGTCACTGGTATCATGCACGCGCAGGTGACAACGAAAACATCTCCGTCCGAAACGCTCCCCCGGAAACATTCGCTCGGAGGGTGGATGGGTGGCACAATTGTATGCGCGCCCCCCGCTTCCCAGTCCCTTCCTCGCTCGACGATCGCTGCGACCCCTCACTCCCTCCCCGTTTTTTTTTTGTGTGTGTCCTTGTTCCAGTACGTGGGTCCGATTCGGCACAAGAAGGGTATTGCATCGTGGGCCATGGTTCTCATCAAGCCTCTGTACCCGCAAGTCAAGGGCGTTGAATTCGTAACCAACAGAACAAGAGATAGGACCGACTGGTGATCAACAAGCAATCAGAGGCCCCGTGCCACGCGCCAAGGCTTCGGGGGAGGGTGCCGGGGGAGGGTGTCGAGCTTATCGCTACAACCAGACCAGAGATTAGATGCGCTGCTGGTCCGTAAAGGAGTTCCATTCTACCGACTGAACGAGCAGGGGGGGGCGTTGAGGGTAATCCGTGGACGGCACCTATCGCTATTCCGCGATGTTTCCTGTAGGCATGGTTGGGACGCCGCCCAGCATATGTGAGAAAGTTGCAGCTTTTGATGCCAAGCTGGTCCGGAGATTGGATATGGGCGTAGGAGTGTAATGGGCACTGAAGATGATGCAAGATAAAGATACCACCCACCCCAATGCGGGAGCACTCTGACTTTTCGATTCTCCCCGCAAGGGGCAGAGAGGGACTGGCGACAGGTCGCGGCAGATTGAGATGGGTCAAATGGCAAGCGTGTCATGGCGGCAAAGATCGTGGCCAGAGCTCTTCTCTAAGTGACAACGCCCTCAATGTAGGGTTTGATGACTGTTTGAAACACGTAAGTACATGTAGAAACAAGCCGTTTAGAAAACCGGATGCTGCTGTCATGGTGTGGTACGCAGCAGTTCAGGTAGTCCAAGGCCTTAAGATAACTGTCATTGGAAAACAGCGAGCTTCTATGCTGCGCATAACGGAAATCCGTTCTACTGGCCTTGGCCAGGTTTTTCTTTTCATCGTTCATGCGAGGCTGCCTTCTTTCCTTCGGGATCGTGTCGTGCGGTCGTCTCACACCCCCCTCAAAAACAGACACCTGCTCAGCAAATTGCGTTACCTTCCAGCAACATCCGTTACGGCCCAACTGACGAGGACCGCCTTCCGTGGTCAAATACAGGTAGGAACGACTCGATATTCTAGGCTCAATTTTTTCCTCCACAATTCAGAGGCCAAAATTGAACCGACAACATGTTAGAATGGTAGTCGCAATGTTTCGTTTGTTGACTCTTGCTATGATACTACTTGTATTGATAGGACAAAAACCACCTCGAACAGAAAAAAAAAAAAAACTGCCACACGAGTTCTGCCTACGAGAGAACCTCCAACCTGCGGCCAACATGGCAAAACTCACGATACCAGCACGCCCACCCGCTCACTCTCCGGATCGGCGCGTAAACCCGCCGTAGGGGGTCCTAACAAGTAAATTTACACACAACAGAAAAAAAAAACGCCACGGGTCGGCTACATATGGAAAGCAAAAGACGTCGTCGCTACAACAAGGCCAGGGTTTACAGCGTCGATATCAAAACAACGGCAGTTCAGTTGTGTCTGGAACGCACGTTGTGGAGGCTGGGGCTACAACGAATACCGAGAACAATCGACACAAGTGTGTGCAGCACTGCTTCCCGCTGACGATGATGATGAACTAACACTCAAACGGACGTTGCGAAACGAAACATGCAAGAAAGGGAGAGGAGAGTCAGCACACAGTCTTCTCTATCTAGCTCTGTGACATGCTCTCTCTCTCGCTCGCTCTCTTCCATACTCGCGTACGCACGCCGTACCTCCTCACTACCCGCACTTATAAAAAAAAAATAGAAGAAAAGCAAGGGCAGCCAACCATCGCTGCCCAGCTTCAACCCCACGCGGCTAAATAAGCCCACACCCCGCGGCAAATCGAACGACGTCATTGTCAAACGTGCAACAAACACTACAATTATTAATTGAGAGAAAGAGAGGGCGCCGAAGCACGCCTCGGGGGAACGAGAAAAAGAAGCCACGAGACCAATAAAGTGGTGGAATCAAGAACGGACGTGAGAAAAGAAAAAAAAAGGGGGGGGGGGACCGACTAGGAATACGTTTGCGACGGAGCCACAATACATGTTCAGCGCACAAGGGCTGAAAAGACACAAAGGTCAGCCAAAAATCAAAGAGGCTCTCTATCTCTGCCCCCGACTAGCTCCGCCATGGGATGAAGTAAATTCTTGACATCATTGCAAGGACAAAACAAAGCAGCATTAGAAAGCTCTCCCCCTGATAACATCCATCTCACAACAGCGCCTCGTACTGCGGTACGCACCCCTCTCGGTGTGTCTCCCAATCAGCGCACGTGAGACATCAATACAAACGCGGCGTTTCATGCCGCATGCACACGCTCACAAAACATCAAAAAAACTTTCGGATTGCACGAGAGTACACAACCTCCGCGCATGACTGCTGTCGGTATGCGCTTACGGTGGTGGAAAATGATCGCGTCTTGATACGTAAAAAATGATACCTACAACCACACAATCATGAATTATGCGCAGCTTGCACCCAAGGAGTGCCCCAGGCGTAGCTGGTGACACCGCTGCTGTTTGTTGTAGTTGTTGGTGATGCCCCCCCCCCCCCCCCCCCCCCCCCCCCCCCCCNTGAACGAGATATGGACTTTAAAACTTTCCCTGACTCGGGGCGTTCACCATTGATATGACCCCCCTCAACCTGCCTATCCCTCCATAGTACATAGTACGTATTCCCACAGCAACCGAAAAAAACATTACATTTTTTGCCGCACCATCACCCAAGGAATACGAGCGAGCATACGCGTCTCCGCGACATAAACCGATGCTCCTCCACGACTTGACTGATAACATACGAAATTCACAAAGACAGTACCGTAAGTATTGTACACACGGTAAAGCACAAGACGGGCACACCCAACAAGCAACATGCGACCTCCGCGCCCCGCCTCCCGCCTGCTAAAAGGGAGCCCGCACCAACAAACACACCACACGCTTGAATTACAGAAAAAACAGTATGAACCGTACCATGTGCGAACAGGCGTGTATTGCGCCGCAATACGTTCCCGTTCGAACCAACGGCAGGGAAGGATAACTAAAATAGCAAGAAGCAAGCTCTTTAGAGAGGGGAAGGAAGCCAGCCGACCTTCTTGCGGGGAGACTTTGAAACCCTCCGCACGACGTGATACTCGCCGTTCTCGAGCTCTTCCAAGGTGTAACCGACCTGAGACAGGGAGAGCGGCAGAGAAGTTGTTGTCACTGTTGTTGTTGCCATTGCTGTTGTTGTTGTTGTTGTTGCTGTTGCTGTTGTTGTCTTTTTCAACCGTTCCGGTCTCCGCTCCGTACGTTCAAATACCCGTACTTTTCCAACTGGCACGGACGCCTTCCTTGGTCACTGGCCAACTACCCGAGGAGAGGTACACATTTCTAGAACGGAAAATGAAATACATAAAAAAAAGATAAAGAAATAGATGGAGAAGCAGTTGGAAAAGGAGAGGGGTAGTAGAGACAGAGAGAAGTAGAAAGAGAGAGAGAGAAAAGAGAGAGCGACAGAGAGTATGGCATACTGGTGGATTTGATTGGTGCGGTAGTAAGCGGGACACAAGCATTATGCATTGAGGCTCAGGACCGGTGCTAGATTTAGCACTGGTCGGGAATAGCCGCATGATACGAGCAGGGACCAGGCAAGTAGTCCCCGGGAAAAAAAAATCTCGCCGCCGTTGGTGCTGCGAAAGGGGAAGGGGTGTTAGTCGTGTTGCACGATTCATGAAGACAAGCCAAGTTCAAAAGCCGTTTACGTACATTGCACGAGGCCAACTCAAGCTCAAGTTCACGTTGGTGTATAGGTCACGAGGCCAGGCCTGAGCTCAAGGATTCTTTTACGATTCACGAGGCCTGGGGTCAGGTCGTACGGTATAGAAATATTTCGCCAGGCCAAGCCTGGGCTCAAGCCGTGTGGTACAATTCACGAGGCCAATGTCGACCTCAGCTTCATGCTGTATGATTCACGACAACGCCTAGACAGCCTCCAGCAGGGTGGCCAAGACAACACTACACAACACACACACGAAACAGCAGAGAGTGTACACAGCAGTCTGCGCGCGAACGAAGCAGCGTGCGGGCAAACATCTCCCTTATCCCCAACTCGCTCCATCGTGGTTGGTTAACTCCGAACAGTACCTCCTCCTCCGTCATGGAGTCCAAGACGATGGCGTCAACAACCGATATCTCACCTCTCCGGTTCCTGAGTTGTGCATGTTCTGGTCTGCCTCGGCTTCCATGTCCTCGAGCGCCTTTTCGTTCTCCTTGGTCCTGTGGTCCACTCTATCCGTCTTGAGGGCTGTCAACGCCACCCTGCAACACCACCACGGAGGACAACACCCCCCACGGAGGATTCAAATATTACTTCCGTGTCAATAACACACCAAGATTCCACCTTTTCCACATATATGTTGTTCTTTTTCGGGTTGGTGTTCGTCATTTGATCGTGAATCTCTACTGAAATCTATTAAAAAAAAAGCTTTCATGGTAAAGAAAACAATTTGTCTTTGTTCAAAACAACAACAAAAAACTGGTACCGTAGACACGGCAGATTCAAAACGTTTTGTCCTTTCGCGTGCTGATTCGAATCCGACTGGAAGTAGCAATTCGCCATGTACGGCACAGCGACACGGTGATCGGTGATAAAGCGATAGCAGCAAAACACGCCCGGAGCAAATGACACGTGTACATAAAAAATCGAAACCATACTCCTTGGCGGATGTTCAGCATAACTATCGCCAAAAATAGGAGCCGGGCGAGGTCTACTAAACGTTTGACGTCAAGGCTACATACCATTCAATCCTGACGATTAAATCTACTAGTAGTACCACATCTAACAAAATGCAAGGGTGGGCAAGACGGTTTAAGTGACACCCGGCGACGCAAAGCCGCTACACCAGTAGGAGAATGCCAAGCCGAATTATATTAAGCCAGCAAACAAAAACAACGAACCACCATGCGTCGACACAAACCAAAGGTGAACGCTAGAGTACATTTGACCTGCCATAATCTCTGCCTGGGAGAGACAAGATCCACCCGCATTTTGCAAGGCACTCCACACACACAGAAAAAAGAACGTCTTACTGTAGGCATCCTCTAACGTTCATCGTACGTCTGACCTGCTATCTCTGCCCGTGACAGACTGGATTATCCCGAATTTTCGCAAGGCATGGCACCCCGAACGAAAACTACCCTCCGTTTTCAGAAACAGCACATGATTACGCAGAAAGACTGACCTGCATTCTCTCGCCACCGCTCCATCGGGGTCCTGAAGGTGGCAGTGGAAGGCCAGCTTAGCCTCGGTGTAGAGATTGCTCCCAGGGTTGCGCTTCTTCTCCTGCGATATGCCATGGGGTACGTGTCAAAACACGAGACACGCGGAACGTTGAGTTGTGGTACCGCACAAGGATGAGGATGAGTCACACAAATCGGCATGCGATAGGGTATCAAAACACGTCCCCGGATGTTGGGTTATGGAGCCGCATAACGATGAAAGTGAGTCACACAAAGTGAGGGATTACACACGACGAGGATGTTACGACAACCACGACGGGGATGAGTCGCACAAAACGAGGAATAGTACGGCTACATACGATAAGGGTAATTGTTGTGGTCTTCACACTTAAAACCGTTCCGATCTCTCTGCTCAATATCTTCTTCTCTCGATACTGATCTACCACTCGACGCGGTCGATTCCCGTGGTCACAGGCCAACGTACCCAGAAAAGGAACACTGAAAAAAGAAAAAACGCCAACAATGCTGGTGCCTTCTGCGACGCAGCAGGTTGCAACACATCCGAGCTTGGACGACGCATGAAGCGCACCGACATCACAGCAGTTACGACAAGGGCACCAACACCAACCGCAGTAACCGCAGCAGCAACTACACGAAAGAACTCACCTGGACCTCCGATGAAACGCATCAACACCTCCAGCACCAACGCACAGCAGAAGCAACAAGACACAAGTCACAAACCACCGATCAACAACAGCAGCAGCGGCGACAACAGAACCGCCACGAGACGAGCTCACCTCCGCCAGCAGCAAGTAGTAGTGCACGAGCCTCACGAACGCTTCTCTGGTGGACGCGTGTCTCAGCACCTGCGGCTCGTCCTCGTTGAACGGGCTCACTTCCAGGGGCCGGTGCGCAAGGAGCTCCACCCCCTCCGTCACGACGCTCTCCACCTCGGCAACCTGCGGGGCGGCAAAGCAAGGCGGCACAGCAGTAGAGGTCCCTGTTTAGTGCCGCCATGTGCACAGAAAAAATGTACCGGCACTATATTACCGAATCGGCACTATTCAGTGTCCTGAAAATGACTTGGGTATTTTTGTGTGCGCGAGCCGAGAGCACCGGCAATTTTTGGGCACCGGCCCACTACATATTCAACCGGCACCAAACAGGGACCTCCATACTGTACCGGAAACAGCAAGTCACTAGCGGTGTTTGGCGTGCTTCGTGCTTGGTACGTCGTCAAACCGCTTGGCCTCGCCTCGAAAGGGACGACGTCCCAAACGGGAAACCTTTGTGACACTACTACACTACAAGAGATACATTCAACAAAACAACTTTGAGAGACAAAACAATAAAAAAAGACAGCCTGGCTTTGGGAGGCCGGGACGATAGACATGCCCAAAGCAACATGACGATCGCGAGGCACTAAACGAAAACATGCTCCGGATACAACGAATCCGTGGATAGATGTGGATTCCTTGTGAATTCAGTGGAGGTCCTGGTTTAGGGACCGCCTAGGCAGGATTTTAGGAATATCTAGAAAGAAGATAGGGAGGGGGCACGCAGACCCTATTCCTAACCCCAAACCACGGATTGAATACTTTATCCCATAACTTGCTTACGCTGTGGTGTAGCGACTGACTCTGTGAAGAAGGGATAAGCCCTGTATAGCGACCCCAAAACCGCTTGGCAACACTGCACCCGACTAATAGCCACTTCACCGGCAAAAAGTGCCCTGCCGTGAATAGCGGCCACATCCCCTCCTGACACTAGGGGTGCCTTTTCCGGGCCCTCCCTACAGGAGACATCGAGTTGCCTCGGCTGTCGGGAGGAACAGAACAAGAAACAAGAAACACCTCTTGCCATTGGCGGTCGTGAGAACAATCAACCCACGGTACGAGCAAGATGAAAGTCGCGAGGCACTCAACGAAATCATGCTCGGAATTATAACAAAAGTGCGGATAGAGATGAATCATTCATTGTCTTCCAAAAAAAAAAAGAGAGACTTGCCTGGGCTGCCGGGAGGAAGAGACCACAGTCCAAGATGAACGTGGCGAGGCACTCTACCCCCGCCCAGACCGTGTCCTCGTGCAGCTTGGCGCCGTGGCCGTTGTTGAGCGGGTTCCGCACGTTGAACAGGAGCGTCTTCGGTGAGCCACCGCCCTTATCGCTGTTTCTGGTTTTCGGTTCATCCGGCCGGGCGCGAAAAGAGTGGGGGGGG